TGGGGTTCGCAGATTCTTTTTGCACGGTCTGCCAAGGCTTTAACTTCTTTTTTGACTTGGGTGATGGTTGGAGTTTTTATGTAGATATCTATCTGTGTGTGTGGGTTTTCTGTAGACGGTGTGGCCCAATGGTTGATCTGTTTAAAAAACAATTTAATAGTAATGGTGTGGTTAAAAAAAGAATTACAACACAGTAAATACACTAAAAGGGCATTCAAAACTCATATTGAGGCTGATTTGCTTTAAACTAACTAGGATTGGATGGATCTCCAGAGAAAAGAAGGGGCCATTGGTTTGATAGACAGTGAGTGCAACTTTATCTGCTTGTAGCATCCGAACAATCCTCCGTGTTCCTCCTCCTTCAAGTTTAGGCAATGTATGAAACACAGTACTCAAATGCTTATAATTTAACAGACAAATCGGAAGGAAAAGGTAAGAGAGGAGAAGCAAGACAGTCACATTCAGGCATTAATTCTAGCTGAATTATGTGTGAACATGGTAAGAGGTCTTAAAGTCAGTGAGGGTCAACAGATACTATAGCAGTGAGTGAATTACCATGATATAAAATCTCCATGTATTGTTTCCTTCATATTCCTACTATAGTTGTGGCTGTTTTAGCAAATTGTTCTTGAAAGTTACTTGGCAAAAAGGAATAATAAACTGTTCAGTGTGTATTAATTGGTGGCATCAGGGAATAATAGCACCTATACATAGTTCTTAGAAGGCAAAATATTTTCTTATCTTCTTATTTCCTTGCTCTCCCCTTTGGCAAGGTCCATGAAGCAATTTTGTATTGTTGATCTTCACTGATAAAATGTTTGAAGGAGTATTACCAATAATGGTAAAAAGTTGAGGCTGCATACAATGGCTGGGAAGCACTTGTTATTTCAGATGTATCACCAGATTTGTGTTTTAGTTTCACAATATTCAATCACACAGCCTCCCTTGCTGCTTCTACTGCTGCCTTCCCTTGATGAGCTGTCTCCAGAATTTATGCGCTGCTGTAGTAGTCCATCTGCCATGTCTCTAATCAAACCAGGTTTCCAACCATTATTTTGCAACAAAAATATAAGAAAAGTGAGACATCTTGCTATCAATGAGAACTTCTGGAATTAATTGTTCTTGCCATCAGCAGCAGCCAAGAATTTATTGTGGAACAATACAGACCTTTAATTGATAAGCCACATACAACGCTGTGTGAAACCACTGCAAAGATCAAGAGTCTGTCACTGACATTTTTGAGAGAAGAAGTGTCTATTAGAGGCAAAGGAAAAAGACTAGGGTTGTAAATCTTTGGGGTTTTTTGTATTTTGGCATGAGAATTATTAAAATCTGGAAAGATTTCTCTACAATGCAATATTTTGAGAGTTTTTTTAAAAGTACAATTTTATTCAAAAATGACTATGTGTGCAGATAAAACTGGAGATATAAATATTTCATTCTTTCATAAAAGAACAGAACTTTTCAAATGTTTTCTCTTCTAGGCAGGTTTCTGAGGGCTTTTGTACGTTTTCAGAATTTTCACATTGTGTGTGTGTGAAAATTTTGTTTGTGAAATGTTGGGGGCTTTTTTTTTTACAGAAACCATTTTTGTGTAAGATAAATTCCCTGCAAAAAAAGTACTCTTCGTATGAAACCCAATGCTGATTGCATAAAATTGGTTGAGAATGAAAAATATTGCAGCATTTCATTAAAAAAACATTGAGACACATTAAAACATTCTGTCTTGTAGATTTTTTAAAAATCTAAATATTGTCTACACCTCTAGTATAACTAAACAAGCTTATTACAGCTTCAAGAAGAGTGACTGATTCTGCATTCAGATTGTTCTGATTGCAGCTCTTTGGCATTATTGTTGTTTGTTATCTGAAATTCCCATGTAAGTGCTGTATATTTTGATATATCTTTTACATTGGTTTTCCCTAGCCATATATTATTTGAACTCTCTCATACATTATGCATAAAAGAATGCATATGCATTTGTTTTAAAAACACAGAAGTCTCTTGCCTCACTTAAGTAGCTTCCTGAATTGGACTAAGGAGCTATGACAAGGTCACAAAAGGAAGCACCGTGTAGTCTCTATTTATGCATAAAGTATGCCAGGCATAAGAAAAATTGGAATGATCCTCCACATTTTCCTTCTGGTAACTTTTTTATAGGCTGGAAATAAATCTCAATGAATATTCCTCAATTCCCATGAGAACCTGATGGTTGAAATAGTGAAGTCCAAGTTGCCTTGGCTCCTATATAAAGAGAAAGGCAGGATATAAATACAGCTTATCTGATTGCCCAATTAAGTTGTGGTCATTCTGAATCTCTTTTGTTATTTTAATACTTTGTGCAATCCTGCAGCTATACAGGATGTTAGTAATCTGCCTGTCTTGCAAGGCTAGCCATCTGCTGAGGGTGTTATCTAATCTTAGGACCTCATCACATTGAAGTACAATTTGTGGGTGATAGCAGGGGGATTCACCATGCAGTGTGGTGAATCCAGAGGGCAACAAGGGAAATCATTACCCCGCATCCCACATTGCCTGCACCAGTGCTTTCCCCATTCCATGGAGGAAAGTGTCATTGCCTGGCTTACCTCCAATCTTGACAATGGAACACAGGAAGCCTCCCGTGTTCTCTCAGCAGTGTCCTAGGAGGACGGAGCCCCACCAGAAATAGCTGTGTGCCATCTGATGCATCCGGCAGTTTCTGTTCTCCCAGTGTCCTCCAGATGTCTTAAGATGCTACAATTGTCTAAAGTGATGAGGGCCTTAATCTAAGAATAAGGTTTCACTGCTATTGAAATACTTGGGTTTATGTATGGCATTACAAAGATATTTACCACAGGGTTGTTATGCCTGTGCTCTGAGTAAAGCAGATCCAGAAGGAAAAAAATAGTTTTACCTTGTAAAATATATACATGGAAAGGGTGGAATATAATTGAAAGGGTGCTAAGGATTGCTTTTTCCAAGCATAATTCTCTGACAAGAAATGTCTGACATGATGACAGAGGAACAACACCCAATTTATTTCCTAAGTAGCATGAAAATTCATTACTGAATTACATACTAAATACATATTTCCATTTCTGATAAGACTGAGGGGAAAGCTACCTCGGGGTAAGTGAGTGTATTTCTTGATAGATTAGAATTGATAGGTTGTATTTGGGGCAGATGTGTTAGCATTGCAAACATGTTCTAAATTGTGTGGAATTTAAGTTTTCATATATTTTATTCTTAATGAGAATTCACCTTTGCATTATATTATATTATATATTGTATTGCATTCATAATTGTGTATCTTAACTTTTGTGAACATTTATTTATTTATTTCATTTATATCCCACACTTCTCACCCTCGAAAGTGGACTCAGAGTGGTTTACAAGCGGCACTCATTAGATGCCACATAAACAATAGCAGTAAAATCACAATTAAAACATTAACTAAACAATAAATTAAAACATTCATTTAAAAACTGACAAATCCAAGACCAAATCCACATTCAAAGTCATAGTCCGAGGTCTGTCCGTTGTCAATCAAAGAATTAGTATGCATTATTAATGCTGTGCCTGATGCTCGAATGCTTGGTCCCATAACCATGATTTAAGCTTTTTTCAAAAAGACAGGAGGGAGGGGTTATGGTTACAAATTATGTATGATGGCTGTTTGTTAAAATACAACTTAGTATGGATTGAATTGTTTAATGCAGCACTTTGGGATTCTGGCTATACATATTTGTTTGAAAAAAGTAGGGAGCCAAATATGATATATGTTAGAAAACGGCCTCTTAAAATCTTGTGAAATTTCAGTGCCATCAATCTTAGTCACTCTCTATAGGAAATTTTCCTTCTCACTTTATTTGTGACAATATATACAGCTGATTCTGAATATAAACCTAGATGTTTTAAGTAGATGTTTGGCCAACTCACCCAAACTCCATATATTAATAAATAATATTATTTATTTATTTATTTATTTATTATTCGAACTTATATGCCGCCACTCCCCTGGGGCTCGGAGCGGCTTACAAGAACAGGCTAAAATCTAACACAATTTAAAAACAATTTAAAACAATTTAAAAACAGCAATATTAAAAGTCAAAGTTCTGTCAAAACAGATATGTCTTATATGCCCTGTGGAAAGCTGATAAGTCCCACAAGGCACGGACTTCAGGTGGCAGAGTATTCCAGAGCGATGGTGCCACTGCTGTAAAGACTCTGCGTCTGGTTGCTGTTAGACGCAAGGTCTTGACATTGGGAATTTCCAACAAATCTTGGTCCTTGGAACGGAGGGATCTCTGGGGTTGGTAGGGGGTGAGGCAGTTATAATAATTAGTTGCTAGTGAATGGTTAATGCACAACAGATAATGACTAATAGCCACTATGTTAATATCATTAATAAATAATGTTAATTATTACTATACAATAATATTATTAGTAACTAATATTAACAGCTGTCCATTTGTGTTGTTGTTGTGTGACTTCAAGAAGACCATAAGGCAAACCTATCATAGGCGTTTCTTGGCAAGATATATTCAGTAGGAGTTTGTCATTGCCTTTTTCTGCGGCTGAGTAACAGTAACTTGTTCAAGGGCACTCACAGCCAAAATAGATTTGTATGCTGGTCTCCTGGAGTATTAGACTTGCACTTAAACTACTATCTCACATTATCAGTTGTCCATTAATTTAACTTTAGCATTACTTTCCAATCTGCCCCCTGGGGTAGTTGATTCATTTTGGTGTTATCTTGAATCAAATATACTGATATTTTCAGATTTGGATGTGCATTTGTTGGGCTACAGATCCCAGTATTCCCTAGAAGCCTCTAGCTACAGCTTCCAGAAGTCTGAAAACATCACACACAAACACACATCGCCTCCCAAAATACACACTGACCTGGAGGTTTTTAGAAGTTCAAGTCCAAGCTCTCTATGGTATTGGCAATAAACGTTACTTTAAAAATGTAAATGAAATAAACCTTGTGATGGAAGTTATATATATATTTATAGGGTGCTGTGTTAACGCCAACAATGGATCATACAATGTCCATGCAGCCTGCAAGTATGATGGGCCCCTTGACACAACAGATGAATCACCTTTCCTTGGGCACAACAGGAACGGTAAGCTGAAATAATGTATTTCAAATTCTATTTTTAAATCATGTTTTTATTACATTTTAGACTGTTATTCAATTAATTCATTTATTTTCTTATTTTTGTTATTAACAATGTTTCCATGGCTTATACATTTTTAGCAATTCTTCATGAATTCTAGATTTCGATATCAAATAAAGCAATATGTGCTTAAATTGGGAATACATAAAAACAGGAAGGACCATGCACTGTGACACTTCCTTCTAAATCTTTTTCCTAACGCGTTTCAAACCCACAATCAATTTAACCATATAAGGATGACAAATTCCTTGAAATTGAATTCAGAAACCCACACTTTTCACTCCTTCAAATAAAGTGCACAATCGTAACATAACCAATATTATATGGGGATATTTCCAGACCCCAACTTACCCAATTCCTGATTCCCAATACCATGATTGACCCTTCATTTGGAACAGTTCAAAGGGAATCCAGCTCCACCCCCTAAATTATCTTATCATGATGCAGAATCCCATGACATACATTGGATTTGCCTTCTTTTCCAGTAGTGGATAATAAAAATGTCTCCCAGATTGTAATGCTGCTCAGTACAAGATGGGAGGCAGATTGCTAATGAACCAATGAAAAAAGGAGACAAACAACAGTATAGGATATCTGCAGACAACCTTATTTCATGTTACTTATTTAAAGTTTCTTCATGAATTATGCTATAACTTAAACCAGAGGGGAAAGTGATGTGAGTTGAGTCAGTTGGTTGCTCCAGATTTCGTCCTTAGTTTTCTTGGGTGAAAACACTAGAGTCCCCTGAGAAAAACCAAATTTCCATCCAGTTGTTCTCATGGTGGTTCCATGTAGAAAAGCTGGTCTAAGAATTCCAACCCCAAGTCGCATGGCTCAAGTTAGTTTAAATGTCCAGATCAGCTCCTGGGAGAGTCTCTTCACCCAAACAAGATGCCTTAGTCGGTGGTTCTCAACTTGTGGGTCCCCAGGTATTTTGGCCTACAACTCCCAGGAATCCCAGCCAGTTTATCAGCTGTTAGGATTTCTGAGAGATGAAAGCCAAAACATCTGGGGACCCACAGGTTGAGACCCACTGCTTTAAGTGCTCCCCAAGCTGTTAAATCTTTCCTGTAGCCTGCCAGGAAACCTATTTAAGGTACCACCATCAACCAATTACCTACTCATCTGAACAGTGTAGAGTAGGCAAGAACTCTAAATTCCTACCTGGCCCTGAAGCAACCCCTAAGTCCAATCTGGTAGAGGCAAGAAGGTGGACCAATAACGAAATTGAAAGAGAGGAGGTAGATGGATGCAATGACCTTTAATAGGGTAAGCCACAACCTCTCTCATTCCCACATCCTATCAGGTCTGACAGGAATGTCCCCCTGACCTCAAACCATTTGAGGTCAACAAAAAGGCCTCGCCTCTTAATGCTGGGGCTTGCAACTTGCAGAGGAATCTAATTCTTCTAATAACATCTGATACCTTCTGGGGTAGAGTGTGATCTTTCAAATGTCCCAATGTCTTTCTGAATCTATTGTCTATATGCTACAATTCTATATATGTTTGTATGTCAAGATACTTACCAGGGAAGAAGTTCTTTTTTTTTCACATAATTTTTATTGTGGGTTTTTCATATACATATACCAACAGGGGGTATTTAGGGAAGGAGGGTTAGAAAAAAAGGGGGGGGAGATTGGGTGAAAGGAATTGGGGGAAGGGATGGTATAGGGAGGGATGGGAGGGAGGGGGGTGCAGATATACAATCATCTGACGAGGCCACTATAACCGGACCGATGCCAGATGCCCCAAGCGATGCCCCAAGTGATGCCCCTCCACCTCTCCAACAGTCTTAAAATTGTTTGAACTTCCCAAAGTCTACTAAGGATTGGAGAAAGAGATGATCCCTTCTTTCTCAGTTGTGTAGAGTTCATCTAGGTCCTCTCGGATTCGCGTTGAGTTTTTCATTTCAGAAGGTGGACAGGTCTATTAGACATGGGATCTTCCGCTTTTTGATGAAATCTCTGAAGCCTGACCAGTCAGTTTTTTCTCGAGCATTATTTAGTCTCTGTGTTAGGCTGTCCATTTGTATAGTGTCAAAAGCTTTAATTRTCCAGTCGTCTATARTCGGCRTTTCTTCTCGTTTCCACATTTTTGCAATTTGGAGTCTTGCCGTTGTAGCGAGCAGAAATAGCATTTTGTCTTGRTTTTTRGAAAGATTTGCGTCTGATATTCCTAATAGGTAGGTTTCTGGTTTTAGGGGGAATTTAGTTTTTAAGATTATTTGGCATCTTTTGTGGATTTCATTCCAGTATTGTTTAATTTGTTTACAAGTCCACCAAGTGTGTATAAAGGTTCCTGGTTCTTTCTTGCATTTCCAGCATAGATTCGCATAGGGAAGAAGTTCTTAACATTTTCAGGACATTTAGGTTTTGACTTGTATATATGCATTTATGTATTTACCAGAGAACCAAAGTTAGGAATGTAGCTTTTTTAAACTGCAACTGTGTACCGAGGGAGTATCAAAGATGTAACTCAAAAACACATTCTTCCACATTCCTCAAATACAAACAGGGCTGGATTTAGAGACTAACATAGTTGTGAATCTGCCAAATCACATACACCTGCAAGATGTCCATGGTCAATTCCTGGAGGCACATGGTGCTGCTTGTCCTTGGCCCTTATTATCTTTCTGTTCATTTATCCTTTGTGAAGGTGCAACATGAACAGTAATTACTAACATCCTCCTCTTCTCTGGGATGAGGTACAGCTGTACCAAGAAGGAGGGCCAAGAGAATGGGCCGTGGAAACAGAAGCAACAAAAAGAAACATGCACGTAGAGATAGACTATGGAGACCACCTAGTCAGAGGGCTCCCAACAATTGGAAATTGCATTGATTGCAAATGCTGGTGGGGGAAAAAAAACAGTTTTAAGGCAACTATAGAGCACAGTAGTGGTTTTGCATACACTCAGATTTAATACGTTCTATAGTATGTGGTTATTAATCTATTCTGCAGTTGTAGACTTCCTAGAATTATGGTTTTATAGTTCATGATGCTTTTATCTTTTCCCAGTGTGTATAGTTGTTTTTAATTTTCATCTACTGGATATAGAACCATATGCTGTTATATCATAAACCTGGCCTCTGGCATTTATAACAGTGAAAACTTATATAACTACTTTAGCTCAAGGCTCTCATGTTCCTGTTGCACTGCTCTCTATAGCAGATATAGGTTTTTGAAAATCTGTTTTTCACCTTAGCTGAGATTTCTTTGTTTCTTTGCCAGCGAACCTAGAGCTGAGTTCACAATTTTAAACTGAGAGATTCTAACCAGTGAAGAAGAAGCATGAAATAATACTCAGTGTTATAAAATAGCCAAAAATCTCTGGAAGTTTAATTGACTTTAACATACATACACACACAAATGTTTTGGATTTCAACCTTGTAGGAGCTTTCTTTGTTAAAGTACACTCTTTTGTAATCTGTCTAAAAGAATCTGAATAACTATTTTTTCAGGGTGCTTATCTAAGAAGGCTATAGTTCTCATCAATGGATTGTGATTAATCCTTTGAATCAGTTTCTATATAATTTATAAAAGTGTAAAATGTAATTCATAAAAAGTACAAAAGAGTGAGTCTGCTCTTGGCACAGCAATCCATATGACTCAAGGCAGATGAGGGGGAAAAGACCATGAGTAATTTTCTGAACAGGATCACATTTTATGGGGAATACAAGCCATGAACAATACTTTGCAACTGTGTTTGTTCTTCCAATGTTGTCCTTTAGAAATCTACAAGAGGGTGCTATAAAAGACCATTGGCTACCTTTCAACAATCTGTTTTCTGCAAACAAGCTAGAAAGTAATGAACTATTCCGCATCATTAGTATCTGCTGCATTCTGTCCCAGATTAATTTAAAAGCTTGCAATATGCAAAGTGCTTTTATTAAAATGCCTTCATACATTCTCTTCCTTTGACAAGCCATTTTGTTAATCAGCACAGCATATGTTTCAGCCAAAACTGCCCTCCTCAGAGTTTCATAGCTAACAGTTTGACTAGAAATGTAGAATCAAACATGTAGTAAACTACTGATGTAATACCAAATTGTGCTTATCTAAAATGCAGACTTGCAAACTGCTTTTATAGGCAAACTCTAAAAGACAAAATTTCCCCAGTGCCAAAACACACACACACACAGAGAGAGAGAGAGAGAGAGAGAGAGAGAGAGAGAAGAAAAAACTCATTTGAAATGTTTGCTACAGGTAGAACCTAACACTCATGAATAGGAAACCTGCACCTCTACAAGGAAATGGGGATTTGATTTTTGCTAATCTAAATGTTGGCTGCAATTCAGACAAACTGTTGTAAGGGATGGGAAAGTATGTTGTTTTTCAGGCAGTTTGCTAGACCTTCAGTTGCAATCTTGACATTCAAATTCAACATCAGTTTCTGAAGTAGGCAAGGATTATTAAAATTTGCAAGAAATGTATATTTTTAATATATACTGCTTCAAATATTTGCATACGTGTGCATAATTTTTTAAAAACACACATTTTCATACAGTTTAAAAATTGTGAGAACCAGAGACTAGTAGGATGTCGTGTGTAACTTTTTCTGATCATTTACATTTTATGCATATTTAGTAGGGGCATGTGAACGAATGATTTTATTGATTAGCCAGTTGGCCTTATCAAAATAGGCAGTACAAACACAACATACAACATACATCTAATCCTCTTAAAATACAAATATACAGGTATTTGTCAGCTTGAAACCAATGTAGTAGGAGTATGCAAAAATATTGTTACTGCTCATAAGTTGTAGCAAATTCATTAAATCCATATGAATCGATATTAGAAACATGCAGGAAAGAGAGGTGGATTTTAGAATTGAAACACTTACCAACCATTTTACTTAAGATTTTGTAACATTCTGATGCCTCCCAAAGTCAGTTTAATTTTCAGTATAAGCATTAAGCAACTTTGGTCAAAAGGCCATTGTTATG